ACTGGAGTTTTAGAGCTGCTTGACTCCAAAGGCAGGTAATTAACTATGAGACAATAGCAGGGATTTTCAGATTAACTCTGCCTAGAGAGAAAGAGGAAAACTAATTTGCACCAAACAAAGGGGGTGGGGGGGTTGATTAGATACACAAATGACAATAGAGAGACTTAGATAGGGCCTGGGAAACTGATAAAGACGCCAAAGGCTCCTTTCTTATTATAAAAGGAATATCTTTGTTTCTGTAAGTTCTGCCTTCTGCTGTTCTCTATCATGCAAATGTTTTTCTAGGTGAGATTAATGTCCCATAGGTACTTGATCAAGGCTGAGAAGTCCTTCTCCATGCTTGTATGAGGAAGGCCTGACATATTCTGCAGTCACTGCAATAGGGCTTTGCAATACAAACACTCACAAGATTTGGAGACAAAGGGATCTTTGGATGTCTTCTCTAGCTGCCTGCAACTTGGCAATGGATTCATTGGTAGCAAGTACTTTATTCTGTTTTCCAAGGTCTCACTTTTTCCAATATTGGGACCAATAGTAAGAAATGACCATTTTGATGGCACACAAAGCTTGTGTGGCAGCAAAATTGAGAGCTGAAGTATGCAGCTAGATTCCAGAAGCAGACACTTACTAATCACGTATTTGAGTGTGTGTGTGTGTGTGTGTGTTTGCATGTGTACAGGTTTCCGCAGAAGCCAGACAGGTAGTTAGATCCTCTGGAACTGATGTGATAAGTAATTGTGGCCATCTAATATTGGTACTTGAAAGCAAAGTTGTGTCACAAGAGCAGTGTCTTTTAATGATGAGCTCCTCCTCTAATTTGAAGGATTATATTCTTGCTGCCTTACTGGTTATACAAACCCTTGAGTGGCACTTCTTACTCTCCACCTTCTGAACGCCATCTTCCTCACACTCACATTTGGACTCTAGACTTTCTCCTCAGCCCTAGTTACAAAAAGAACTTCAGTCTTCCATCTAGCAAATTTTGTTGTCCTTGTGAAAGATTGCCATCATTTCTTATTTCCATCTTGTCTCCAAAATCTATTTCCATTTCCACATCATACCTGGCCTTTCATGGCAAGAAAATTCATCCTCACCACACCGGTGTCCACTGGTAACACTGCCCAGCAACATTGTCTGTGATGCACTAAATTTCAGGCCCATGCTTACTATCTGCGTCATCTACTGTGGTAGAAAACACTGTTCCTATGACTGAAGAAGCTTTTGTTTTTATTTCTGATATTTTAAATTGAGATTATAATGAGTAGCTAGTTATCTCAGTCTCTGCTCAGTGCAAGCCATCCTGATACAGTCTCTGCTACCTATCTTCAATACAATGTTGACGTACTTCCTCTTCTTTAGAGGGAGCCTTTCCAACCTTGCCAAGGAGGCTTGCTTGGCCCATTTAATTGTCTGGGTTCTGCTTCCAGACTGGGTCTTTCTCCTTCCACAGCTGTTTCTTCCAGCACCTTTTTTTCTCTTCCTCAGGTTGGCTATCCCTGGCCTGAGGCTGAGTTAAGTGCATCCAGGTCTTCCTTGGATTCCCATTGATAAGTTCATGGGTTTTTGCCATGCACAGTTCCTCTCACTAGGACTCATGATGGCTCTTTCTGTCTCCTTCTGCTTGTTGTCTGATATAGGGAAGAACTATAAACTTCAACCCAACTCTAACTGAATCCAGTCCACATTTGAGGTATCTGATCACTCCTGTTCTAGAAACCATGCTTTCCAATCATCAGGAGGAGATGAAAAGGGTTTAGGAGAATTTATGACATTAGCCAATTTGTAAGAAAAATAGCAAAACAAAAACTAAATTTGAACTTATAAACTAGAGATTTTGGCAACAGCATCTGCACTCATACAAATTCTTGTGGATGATTTGGAAAAGTAACACACCATTTCACCTCTGCACACAAAAGTGAACTGAGTCTTTCAGGGCAGCTTTGTCTCCATCCTTATGTATTCGGTTCCAAGCCAGAGCATGCACTGTTAGAGATGTTTCTCACTGGCTAACTGTTGCAGGAAAGGATAAATGCATTTGTGTCTGTTTCTTGGGTAGATGTGGTTATGGTGTCATGACTATCATAAAAGTAGATCATTTTGAACTACAATGGTAAAGAAAGATGTAGCATAAAGAACTAATGGGATGGGTAGGATATTTGGCAGTCAGGATGCTACAAATAATCTTGGATGTTAGACAGATTGCAAAAGTGGTGAGTGTCATTTCCTCTGCATCTCCCTGTGTGTATACACATACATGGGACAGGCAATACAGATATAAATACACATGGGCATAATACTTGGTCCGTTCTTCATTGTTACTTATGTTTGTATTTCTCTTTTGAAATGATCACAATACTATTTTGGAGAAACTGATATGTCTGGTTTGCATTTCAACAGTGTTTGTTTGAAAAGCAACTTAAATTCAGACTGCCAATTTCTGCTAAGGGAATTAGGATCTCTGTTCAGTATAATAAATGATCCCAAAATAAATATATTTCTTTTTTTTAATCCTGCATGGTAGTATATCCTCTTTCCAATATGGAGTCTGGCTCTATTTAGTTTGTCTGATTGCTTTGAAGAACGGGACAGGTTGACTCTGGAAAAACTATGGTCCCCTATTCATTAACGTGTCAATAATACTCAGCCCAGGCATATTGACAGCGGATTAGCTTGGGCTGAGTCTGTGTACAAGACCAATGCCTTTTTTAACCCAGCTTGTTTCCAGATCAATACACCCATCAGCATTCGAAAATTAGCCCAAGATGAGATTCCAATACTCAAGATGGTGTGTCATGGGAAGAGGGCACCTAGCCAAGTCACAGATGTAAACACCTGGCTATGGATTAGACATTTTCCATTAGCTGGGACGTGAGTGAAGACAGATGTAGACTGTGCCCCCTCCCTCCCTCCTGCTGCTCCCACCTCCCAACTATTCAGCCTTCTCTTTCATAACTCATGTAGGATCTTTTGTACTATAATTCCAGACGTTTGCTCCAATAAGCATTTGTTAAATGTCCAGTGTATAAAAGTCAGTCTATTTAGCACAGGTATGTAAGAATGTGTCCATGGAGATGTATAGAAGAAAATGACAAAAACCTATTTTCTTGTTTTCTAAGAGGTGTTTGCCACTTCCTGCAGCACACCTCCTAGCCTTTCTTGGTCACTGCAAGACATTAGACCCAAGGAATGACTTCAGAGGTATTTCCTAGTAGAGATGGCAGATGGCTTCCCTGGAGCATTCACCTAACTTCCCCACAGAATGATGACCCTTAACTTATATTTTGTCTATCTATTTATCTACAAGGAAAATCTTTTGTATGTTGAAAACGTATATACACAAACAAAAATTTCACATAGCAGTACGTAGTCTGCTATTTATAACACACTCAAATACTGGCTATGCAATTCTATTTTAAAACTATTTGCACAAAGCTGTTTGCAAAAAAAATACTCATTTATCGAATCAATAAAAGAAAGAAAACATCATACTTTCCTTTGGGGGAAGAGCAAGCAAAAGTTATAAAACCCTAATGTGACCATACTCTACCACAGCCGGATCGCTTGCAGTATGCCACTACTATCACCTCTGTCTGAGTTGTGCTCAAGGGTCTCCTCATTTTAACATATTTTCATCTGATGGCTGCTTGCCCTGTTCTGCTTCACCCAGCTCTGACTCATGATCGCAGTATGCTTTCCTCATCTGCTCATAGTGGTTCTCCTTCACTCTTCCAATTTCTCCTTCTCAATCCCTCCTCCATTTTGTCTCTCCCCATTCACCTCAGGTTTTCATCCTACTCTCAAGCATGCTTCCAGGAAGGCAGGCTGCTGCAAGAGTGAGTTCATGACTCTGACTGACACCTGCCATCTTGCTGGATGAGGAGAGCCAGGGATCAGGCTAAGGAAGAAGAACCCTACCCCCCAAAAAAAGCCCACAGAAATTCCAACAAGGATTTTACTTCATGGTATCTTCAGTTCTCAGAGAACCAACTAAGTATGTAATCTACGATAAAACATGACCAAATGTTTAAAAATAGCCATTGTATTTGAAAAAAATCAAAGGGGACATTCAATAGCATAGTGACGAACAGGTAAATAGTCCTCCACAAGTGAGGGCTTCTCCTAAGTGCTTTAGTTTAGCTATATATAAAATGTAATCCTCACCCCACTCCTCACATTCACCCTATTTCACATGAAAAAGCCCCAGGGGTGCAGTAATATTTGATTTAGGTCTCCCTCTCCACCCAAAAGCAGACAATGTAGCTCAAAGCTGTTTTTCACTAACTAGAAATTCATCTTCTTGTTAAATGTCATCTGGTGCCTCAGGACTGTTCTGATTCTGAGAAGAGCTGAACACCAGACCTGTGATGAGAATCAGAAAGAACAGAATTTGGAGAAATACCACAAAACCCACAGAGACAACAGGAGGACCCCAAGCAAACCTTAAGCCTACAAAGTACAAATAGGAAGAGAACATAGCAACAGTCGAGGAGAGACTCTGAATCTGGTCCTATAGCAGAAACATGAGGGAACAAAAACTGGATTAGATTGTGAAAGAAGCAAGCACCCTATACTGGAATGGGTGTGTGAGAGGGCTGAGATAAGATCCTCGGTACTGTTTCTTGACTTTGTCATCAATGAAGACTGGTCTAGGGCATGGCACATATGTACAGCAATTGAAGAACATTAACATTCGTGTCTTAAAATAAAGCAAACTTGTAGTTGGATGTAACATTTAAAAAATGCTAAGAGGAGGAAAAGCCAAGGAAAGCAATAATTAGACAATAATTGTGCACAAAATATATTATTGAAATAGAAGAAAAACTAGTTCAACTCAAAAAGTAAATTGATGAAACGTTCCATGTCTAGCATCCAGATGACCATCAGAAAGAACTTGCTGGGGAGAACAGCCAACCTAGCTTGAATTAGGATCATGGAAAAAAATCTATGAATATTGATATTTCCAGCCACCCACTCAGCCCTCCCAGCAAAGCCCCAGTCACCTTGTACAATGAGGTGGACCCTGGAGGTCTTAGGGTGGTTGTCTGTCTGCACCGAGCAGGTATAAGGGCCCTCATCATACACATCCACATTCTGGATCTCAATGCTGTACTGGGTCTTGGTGTTACTCAGGAGGACCACACGAGGATCTAGGCACCACTTGTCGTTTCCAGCATAGAGGATGGTGCTGCGGTTAAGCCAGGCCACCCTGGTGACTCGGTTGTCAATTGTGCACCTGCAAGTTAAGACCAGACAGATAAGTAAAAGGAACAGTAAGAAAGCAAAAGTTGTTAGTGCTGGGCTAGCATATTTCATCATGCCTTATATTTTCCCTTTACTCCCATTGGAGAGATATGCATTTGCTGTGTTTTCTTTGCTGAGTACATTGTTACAGAATTTACCAGTATGGAACTTGTAGGACTATGGCTTTAAAACATTCAGTGTCTGAACTTTCCAGGTTCTGAAAAGTTAGTGCCTCTAAAACCACAGGAAAAAAAAATCTCACTTCAAATAACATCTAAGTGCAAACCCAAGGCATCTTGCATCCTCAGAATGTCTAGAACCTTAGGACATTCCTGGTCCTCTTAGCTCAACTCTAGGATCCTTATGATGTGGACAGTGATAATCTCCATCATCTGTCTGGGTGTTTGGGGTGTGTTAAGCTGTTCAATGCTCACAACAGCCCAGTGGGATGTATTTCATTGGAAAAAGAATTCAGGCACAAGGATGCTAAATGCTTTTCCAATTCACAGTTAATATGTGCTGGCTCAGAAACTGAGCTTTAACTACAAACCATCCTTCCACTTATCTCAATATAGCAAATTCCAACAGAAGGCTTCTAAAGTCAAAACTAAATACAGACCACCACTCTTGCTATTTATCTTCATTATACTCAGGACAGAAATGTTCAATTATTGCTAGACTAAAGACATTTTCTAAAATCTCAAAAAAACTGTTTGCACATATAAAAATAGATTCCCTTTCTTTTTATTTTTGCATCTGGAGTCCTCAAATTGTGGAAGCTTCCTTTTCTTTTCTGTACTTTGAAAGCTCCCAGTAACTCTTGCCAAACCTTCATCCAATCTCTCTGTCTGTCTTCATTTCCCTCTCTTGTTACACCAAGTATCTCCTATGGCCTAAGGCTAAACTCACAAGCACAGTGTCCTACTTCTAACTATAATACTGGGAATAGCAGTGTTACCTGGTCTGTATAATGATGTCACAAAAGCCTGTACTCCTTTGCAGTGTATAGAGCACTCTCACATAGAGTTTCATTTGGTTCCTATAGCAAATCTTTGAAATAGATGCTCACATCTATTTTCTGTTTCAAAAAACTAGAACTTCAGACTTCTAACCTGTCTGTGTGTTATGCAAGGAAAGAGAACGTTTTGGAGGCAGACTCCCCATTCAGGTCTTATGTTTAGCACTGCCTGTGCTGGGGCTGTTCAGAGTGACCTTTTCAATGGGAGAGCGTCATGGTTTATGTTGATTGCCAACTTCATTGACTTCAGAAATTCTTCAAGACTGGTAAAGAATATATGTGGGTTTATCTTTGAGACAATTATAGGAAGGGAGAGGATTCGTCAAAGTATTTGGGGTTCACCATGTCAGGTTGCCACAGGCATCCTTTTTCTTCTGAACCCTGCAACCATTATGTGAACTGCTTCGATGCAACCTTCTACACCACCAAATACAATGGACTCACACCAATGATACCGTGAGTCAAAATAAAGCCTTCCTAACACAAGTTGTTCCACAAGTATTTTTGTCAGAGCAGCAAAAGATCAGCCCAGAGTGGTTTTGCTTCTCTTGAATCTTCAACATGGTCTGTGACCATAAAAAAGAAAGTGCCAAGATCTACTAGTGAGCCCTGTCCACCTATGGTTCACATTGCACATCCTCCTTGTTTTTTCTTGTGTAAATGTCACATCATCACCAGAGGCACAGGTGGGCATTTGCTGAGTGACACTGCAGGAAAATCTGTCCAATCAGAAGAAGCATATTTGCTCTGGGGCCCAACAGGTTCCCAGTGCTGAGGGGATTTTCTGGCAATGCTACAGAAAGAATGTAATATTACACATGGTATGAAAATGATGGAAGACCCAACTAGGGAGATGCTAGGGTACTGGCTCAAAAGTGATGTGCAGGGTGCATCAGAATCGCATGCGAGGTCTGTAAGCTCCACCATTCCTTATGTCACAGAGTCAACCTTTAAGTATCCAGAAATATCAAGTTATATAAAAAGAGCTCAGTTGAGAAACATACAAACTAGACTTTGATAGTTACCGTACAGAATAGTGAATCCAGGACTACCTATATAATTGATGGACCCTGAGACCAAAGACAGAGACCTCTGTCAGTGAGAAGTTCCAGATGGTGAGAGGAGAGGAGCAAGCCAAACGCAGACTTGTAACTCAGCAGTCATGAAGCCCGCTCTACTGCTCCCCCCTCGATCTTTACTTGTAAACTGTGAGATGCTGTTAAAAAATAGGTTCTGATCTGGTACAGATCAGATATTCCATCTGTCTGTCTCTGTCTCTCTTCCTCTCTCCCCCTCCCTCTGTCTGTTCCCCCTCCCTCCCTCCATCTCTCCTTCCCTTTTTCCCCCCTACCCCCTCCTCTCTATGTAACCTAGGCTACTAATCTGAAACTCTCTGTCCCTCTGCCTTGGCTTCAAATGTGCTAGGATTACAGGCAGGCCTGTGTCACTATGCCTGATTTAAGGTTCTGCTTTCTGGCTGGGCTCCCAGGTTAAAGCATTCACCTAGAACCCTGGACCATTCTTTGAAGAGCATTTATCTAGAGGTGAATTGTGTGAACATTAGCACTTGGGAAGCGATGAGACTACTTCTCCCTGCTAACATATGACTGGCAAGTATGCAACTTCTACATTGCAAACAGCATCACCGTCACTCGGGAGCTTGTTAGAAGTGCAAAATCCAAAGTCCAACATCAGAGGCAGTGAATCAGAAAGTGCATTTTAATAAGATCTCTAGGCAACTTGACGGCACATGATACTTGGCCTAGTCTAGATTGTATTCTAAGCCTCATTTCCTGTTTTAAAGAAAACATCCAGAATTCACTGAGAGTGTCTAAGACAGACTGAAAGAACCTTGACAAATGACACTCCTGACAGTCTTCCCTTCTTTGCAAATCTCACACAACAGTCATCTCCATCTTGGGCTGTGCTGAATGCAACCTGCCTCTAAAATCATACTGGATAATCTCCTTGAAGGATACCTCACTCTATAGCTTGCTTTACTAGAAACAACTTTTACAATGATAACTCCAAGCGCAGATAATGTTCTGAACTTTGCTTGAGTTCAAGCAGATTACAGGCAACTCACATCCATGGCCAAATCTTTCTGAACATATATCTCTCCTTTTTTTTTTCATTTTCTTTTTTTATTGGATATTTTATTTATTTACATTTCACATGACATCCCCATTCCCCTCCCTCTACTTGTTAAATATTGTGAAAGCTTACTCAATGAACATGTCAAAAAGTTGGCCGACTCACTTGTTGTTGCCAATTGACAGATCAAATTCCCTGTGCCTAAGAACCATACATATAAGAAAATGACAGTGATATTAACATTTGGTTTACTTTTTATCTTTGATGGTCTTCTATGTTCTTCCAAAACCTCAACCACATACATATAATGTAGGGTGGTGGGCTGAGAAAGGCAGCTAGGTACTTGGTTGAGTGCAGGCCTGGAACCCCGGATACCCTAATGGTACAGTAGGTGTTTGGCCTTGCTTCTGGGCCCTGGTACCTTTCACTCAGAACAGACCTCTACAGCCTCTCCCAAGGAGAGGTTTATGTCACATAGCACAGGTAGAGGGTATGACTAACAGGCAGAACCTCAAGAGATCTCCATATTAATGAGACCTAAAGGCCAGAGGGCATAGCCAATTAAGCATTCCTTCTCAGACCCTCCTCCTTGCAAAAGGTATTTAACCTCAGGCCCGCCCTGAGGACATGAGATACAGCTTCACCCACCTTCTGCCATGACACTAAACCTTTTAAGACTATGGACTTCCTCATGTCTTTGGGGCTTGTTGTGGAGAATTGTAGAGGGGGGCCTTCAACTAATGAGCCGCCACCTAATCTGCTGAGGACCTCTCTATGTTCCAGTCACAGAGGCATGTCAACTCTGCAAGCTAGCCAGCCAGCCATGACCCAGCCAAGCTAGTCCCCTTGACCAAGAGTCTCATCTACCCTTTGGGGCGCTACTGGAGCCTTTTCCTCACACCCCTTTCGGCTACGGGCTGGTCCAACCCATATGTGCCCTGTCTCAGTCCTTCTCCGGTCTCCCAATGGTGCTTGGGAGCCCCAGGGCTGAGATCGGTTGGTCTCTGGCCAGCCACTTCAGCTCGGAGACCCCCCAATCCAAGAGCTCTGTCCCCACAGGACCTCGGACTGAGATCTCCCCACTCTCGGAGTGGAACTCAGTGGTTTCTCCTAGCCTAGCATCCAGAGTGAACTCAATCAAATTCCCACACTTCTGCCCCCCTGAGCCACCTGGCGCAGCAGACACATGGGACCCATGACTCAGCCCAATAGGACTCACACATACACACAAGCCACAGGCCCACAATATAAGTCACTGGTTCTCAAATTCAGTTTGCACCTGAATGACCTGCTGATAACATACAACAGAGATAACTGAGTGGTTCAGGCTGAGGATGGAGATACTGCATTTTGTTGTAACTCCAAGGAGTGCTGACAGTGATGGTCTAGAGACCAAGCTGTGAGAAACACTATTTCAGAGATGTGGTTTCTGGTAAAATGAGAACAACAGAGTGAGTGGGCATTAGGAAATGACTCTAGTGTTCCATTACTTTACAGCAGAAAACTTTCTTAGAAGTGATGTATTCTGGGAAAGCACAAAGCAGATTTTTAGTGACTTTATCTCCCACCAGGTGACATTAAACCACATACCAGTTAATTGTCCATGGGATAGGAAATGCTGACTAGCAGAGCCTGAGCCATGAGCTCAGTTGTTGAAACCCACTACTCAAGTTTCTCACAGTCTTATGAGTAATGCCAGAGGGACATCCTGTGCTGTCACATAGATGTCTAATTATTGAAACTGGACTGAAGAAGAAGCTTTCTCATCACACCACACTGCCTTACAGGGCCAGAGAGGTTCCTCAGCAAACAAGCTAACACTCTAAATGCAGCCAATTTCCAGCACAGTTATGTAGCCCCTGTGATATACTACGCTGAAA